GAGTAATGCCTACTCACTCCCCCCAGCACTGTCTCTGCAGTGCCGTCTGCCACCTCCTCCCTCCCCTCCCCGGCTGCCTCTATCAGAGATAGTGGGGGGAAAGGGGAGGCTGCTGCAAAGCAGCCTCTGCCCATGGTGGGCCAAGGTTCGCTGCGGGGAGAAGCTGCTCTGGCAGCAGCCCCTGTCCAAGGACCAAGTACTGTCTAGATCAGTGTTTCTCAACCGGTGGTACGAGTACCCATAGAGGTACTCGAGAGAAGTCTGGGGGGGTATGTCAACACAACTGAAATTTGGGAAAAAACCTGAATTTTTAAGTGTTACAGCACTTTATTATTTTTGTACTTTTTACAGACAAAAATTTCATCTCCCGACTGGCTACAATTAAGTTGTTTAAACAAATGTGTTGCAATGGTAGAAAAAAAATTGTGTATCTGAAAACTGTAGGTACTGGGGGTACTTTTTTTTCGAAAAAAGGGGTACTTTATAAAAAAAAAGTTGAGAAACACTGGTCTAGATCACCCCTTACAGGTGTCTCTAACTTGCTCTTAAATATCTCCAGTAATAGAGATTCTACAATCCCCCTACACAATTTATTCCAGTCTTTAAACCACCCTGATGGGCAGGAAGTTTTCTTGATGTCCAACCTAAATCTCCATTGTAGCAATTTAAGCCCATTGCTTTTTGCCCTATCCTCAGAGGCCAAGGAGAACAATTTTTCTCCCTCCTCCCTGTGATACCCTTTTAGATACTTGAAAACCACTATAATGTCCCCTCTCACTCTTCTCTTTTCTAAACTAAACAAGCCCAGTTTTTTCCACTCTTCCCTCTAGACCTTTAATCATTTTTGTTGCTTTTCTCTGGACTTCTCCAATTTCTCCATATCTTCCTTGAAATCAGTGCAGAGTAGAGTGAAAGAATGACTTCTCGTGTCTTGCTCACAACACTCCGATAAATGTATCCTAGAACCATGTTTGCTTTTTTTGCAAACTGTTGACTCATGTTTAACTTGTCGTTCATTATGACCCTTAAATCCCTTTCAGCAGTACTCCTTCCTAGGCAACCACTTCCTACTCTGTATGTGAGAGAATTATTGTTCCTTCCTAAGTGGAGTTCTTTGTGTTTGTCCTTATTAAACTTCATCCTGTTAACCACAGACCATTTCTCTAGTTTGTCCAGATCATTTTGATTTTGACCCTATCCTCCAAAGCACTTGCAACCTCTCCCACCTTAGTATCATCAGCAAACTTAATAAAAAAATTATTTTGAATACTCATTCTTCTCAATTTTTCTCATTCTATTATTCAATTAATCATTTACATTTTTTTCAGCAAGGATGCAGATCTGATTCCAAGCGTCCACAAAAGCCAAGACTGGCTGTGCTTAGAGCACACTTAATTTTGGAATAACCCTCAATGAGTTCACTGACACTTCTGTTTTTTGAGAAAACACATATAGAATGGGGTTCACTTGGAAAAGATGATGGATTTCCATTCCAAACGGCTATGAAAAAACTTGCACAGATCCAGACAGACATCATCTTGGAAAAGATGAGTTATACTGAGGCAAAATAGGGAATAGATTTATGGCACTGCCATTATCTCTTGTGGCCATGATAAGAGGCATGTATTATGTGATATAAAATAAGAAAATTACTCTCAGTGGCAACTGGCAACCCTAGATGTCTCTTACTGCAGCTTTCTGTACTGTACTTAGATTCTAAATGAAATTATCACCTAACTAATTAAACAAGCCATAAAGATATCTTAAGCTAAACTTTCTATTCTAGCAATATCCACCATAGCAAATATCTTGGGAATTTAATTGTTAAACCACAGTTATGTTAAAAGGCATATTGTCTTCAAGAATGATGTAATGCAAAATGAATTAAGCTACTAACTACAGGCAGTCCCCGGGTTACGTACAACATAGGGACTGTAGGTTTGTTCTTAAGTTGAATCTGTATGTAAGTCGGAACTGGCATCCAGATTCAGCCGCTGAATCTGGACACCAGTTCTGACTTACATACAGATTCAACTTAAGAATCCCAGGCGTCCCCAAGTCAGCTGCTGCTGAAACTGATCAGCAGCTGATTCCAGGAAGCCAGGAGCAGAGCAACTCTGCCTCGGGCTTCCTGTAGTCAGCCG